ATGAGCTGTTTTATCTACAGACAGCGCAGGTCGCCTTCCATGGAGTCCGCCATGTTGAACTGCCATGTTTCTATCCATTAAAACAATGAACTGAAGTGTGTACCTAGTAATGTGTTGGGTTTTAGCTAAAGATACACTTTAATGGAGAACAATCAAAAACCGCAGCAATTGCAGATTCTCAATATCCAGCTTTTTTTGTGTTTTGATCCGTAAGAGTAATTCTATAAAACTGTCAGTGCTGAGAGCTTGGGGATAAAATCTTCAAGCCTCGAGATGACAGCACATCCCCAGAGCTGTTACTGTTGGCTGCTGCAAAGCTAAAATGCTCGACACAGGAGAAACACCACTTTAAATCTTCTCTCCCAAGCTGTGGCATGTGAATGATGAGACATCAGAAAAAAAACAGTGGCCGTAGAGTCGCCCCGGCCACACACTGACCAGCACTAATTCTGTCTATGTTCAGTCTTAACTCTCATTAGCTGGTATGCCCGCACATTCCTCCTGCTGGAGGAGTGACTGACTGACTGAGTCCGTCTGTCTGCTGCCTGACTGAGATGTTAAAACCTTCAAGGGCTTTCCCAGACAAAAACAGTCTGCTCAGTCAGAGTCAGCTGACACTGTAGACATTATGGGGGTGGTTAAAATGTAATTGTTGTTTTCGCTGCGTATATGAGATGAAAATATGTGTTTTTTTTGCAGTATTTTAGTGCTGAAATGATCAGTTTGGATCTGATTTAACGTTACTGGATCGAGGCAGCGGTGGACCAGCAAGTCCTGTGTGCTGCGGGGTAAATTTGCTGTTTTTGTCCAAGGAATCTTGTTACTTTAGAAAGGGTTGTATAAACGCTTAAGTATCCTGTCGGAAAAGGCTGTCTGAAAACAAGGTAAAGCAGTGAAAATATTCTTCATATAACAAACGCTTCTTTGATGTTTTGCTGCTTTCCCCGTCCACAGCAGTGCATTGCTTAGCTTCCATGCTGGTACTCCTGTCTGCTTCTCCAAACTACTGTAGGGAAAATACCTCATACAACCCCAACGTTATTATGAAGCTGCACACAACTAGAAACAGAAAAAAATATTGATTACAGCCTCTCAAATGTGAGGATTTGCTGCTTTTCTTCATAATTTCTGATATTAAATGAAATATTTTTGCATTTAAGATTGTTAGTCACCCAAAACAAGCAATCTGAAGACATTTCTTTAGGTTCTAGGAAATTGCAAACGGAATTTTTCACTCTTCTGACTTTTTTTATTGACCAAACATTTTAGCAAATAATCGTAAAACATATAATTTATAATGAAAATAGTTTAAGCTTAACTACAGTGCATGTACACACCATATTATAGGAACATTATCTCCATTCACCCCCCTTTGCATAGTTGTCATGGAAACATCCACCAGTCATTAGCAGTTAATATCCATTTATCTTCTATAAGGGCCAACTGGGAGCGTATGGAAGATTGTCAAAGCTATAGAACGACTGAAGGCTTTAAGATGCTAAGGAGGGGTCCTGGCCTCCCTGTCAGCCCTCTAACCCCCTCCACTCTTCTCCCATCCTCCCCCTTCTAATGTTTGAGGCCCCAGTCACTATGGCAACAAAAGAGAAACCAGGACCGCATGATCATGACGGGGGCTTTAAAAATAGTTTGAGACCCCTCTGCTTTCCTCAGTAGAGTCTCTGCATAGTTTCAGTCATCTTGAGTCCAGAGGGATTAGAGCTTTTTCACTTATCTGGAGAGTTGGAGGTCAACAAAATGGGCCCCCACTCCCCCCCAATCAGAAACACTGATCTGTGGAAAGGAACGACAAGGAGAAGCATTTAGACTCTTTAGAAGGTGCAATTTACATAAACTAGCACATCTTGCTTAGCTTTTACTTGAATCATAAGTTCTTTAAGAAGTTTGTCCGTGTAGAAAACAAATGTAAACCAGTAAACAGTTTGTTGTTAAGATCACTGTAATACATTTAAAATCTTAATATTCATCTCTTTTGCACAAAGAATATAAATCAGTTGAAAGATTTATGAAATGCAGATTTTAAGTTGAGATCAGACTATAAAACCAAATTTTCCCCTTGCGGTACGGCTGGAGTAATAAAAAAAACCACAGTAATAATCTGGCCAATATTTTTGATTGTCATTCATGTTAATCGTGTGGATGAATAAATGAATATCCAGCTTTCCATACAGCATGTGAGCAAATAGGAATTAACTGAGAGGAAAAAACGCACAGCAAAATAAAGATAACTCTTAAATTGGAAATTGCTGCAAATGTATCAGTGTAAAGTGTCCCTCACGCTCATGACAGTCAATTAAGATCCATTTTAAAATACATCAGTGATACATCTCCCCCTGTCTCTCCAAAGCACTCATCACTGAAACCCGCTTGTAGAGTTTGGTTGGAGATAATCCTCCATGATTCATCGTTGTACATAAATGTCATTTCGAGTACAAGGAGTTTTTCTGACAGCTGCAGTTTGTCCAAACTCTGGCTGTTAGTGCAGTGCAGTATTTAGTCTGATTCCCTGGTATTCAGAAAGGATTATATGTAATAAATATCGTCATGGACTAATTAGCTTTCCTCAGTGCATAGAGAAATCACACAAGATTAATCCTACAGGCTCTGCTCATTAGGACTGTTAATTCTGCTTCCCAAACACCACATGTTGCTCCTGCTGCCGTTAACTTAGCTTTCCTTCATACTGACACTGATGCAGTAATTGAAGTATGCAGTATGAATCTTTAACGACGCACATTTTAAACTCAATTTCAAACTGCATTTACCGAATGACCAGGGAGAATCGATGGACGGAGCATTTCTATCTGTCTGCCTGTCCCATGAGGAAGTGAGCAAATGGATTTTAGATAAGTATCTTCTGCACTAAGTTTGTTTGACTTTCTAATAAGTTTGTTAAAGCAGCACCACCTCTGTGACAGAGAGAATGCTATTTTAACCACAAAGTAAAAGGTATTGACATGTTTTTGCAGTACAGATTGTAGTCATTTCTCTGTAGTTTCACAGTTTTTACATATCATTACAACATATTGTAGTACCAGATTTGTCTTCGTCAGTTATTATGAGTCTAAGTAGGGATCAGCCCAACTTTGAGTGTGCTAATTAACGCACGGTAATCACAGTTAAATCGCAGTAGTAGCCTTGTAAACTTGGCAGGTTGGAAAATGGCTTGGCATTGCCCAGTCCTGGCAGGTGGAGTCTAGAAATGTGTCTGGCCAGCATGCCTGCTGTCAGCCCTTCTTTCGTCTTATTAGCCATCTTCACCACTAATTAACAAACATGGGCAGCCCCCAGGGTTTTCTGTCTTCATTGTGTCAACAAGAAGGTTAGGAGGGTTACAGAGTAGGTAAAACACGAGGGAAAGTCCTAGCAGGGACTCACCAACAAAACTGTGAATTGTTGCGAGTGACGTAGTGAGAACTGCAGTCTTGCCATACTTTAAATCCTTCTGTGATTCCTAGACAAGCCTGAAACTCAAGAAGAGGACACGCCCGTCAGTCGGATATCCTCATATTCTCTGAGTCACTGTGATGTTTTTAGAGCACAACTGGCTCTGCTGTCAGCGCACCATGACCTCATCATCATGCGTCCTGTTGGCCATTGTTCTCCAAACAACACTCAACTGTCCACCATCCATTGTTGATATCATAGTTTGTATGTGCCTGCTATAGTGTCAATATTTACCACCGGTCCTGTGAGAGTGAGGGAGCGAAAAAGTAAGTGTGTGACATCTTGTGCCTCTTACGTTGAGGTATTATTTCTCACAGCTGTATTATTTGTGTGTACTGTTAGATTTACAACTTTAAACACCCATGGCCACAGTATCACAGCAAGTTCAACCTGTCTCCTCTTCTCTGTGTTTCTCTGTTGAGGTATTATTCACAGTTATGAACTTTTAGTTATTCCTAAGGCTGATAAGATGTGTGGAGACAGTAGCCTTTGTTGCTGTCAGGGGAAATGCCAGCATGTTAGAAGCCATTTTACATCTCAAATGAAAAGAGACCCTTTTCTTCTGCTGCCTCATGCCTCGCAAGCCTCATGCCTCAGGCCCCGTTTGTGCTGCTTGAGTGGGCTTCATGAATGGCCTGTCCTGGTTCTCTGTGTGTGGGCCACCTTGGTCTTGTGGGACATTTGTATGCTTCAGTATACTGTATATCATCTCTGTTTTTCGTGGTTGCTGTGTGTTTCTGACAGGGGGAAATTCCTTGAAAGCACCCTGGTGTGGAAATTGAACAGCTAGAATTTGACCTTATTAGTGTCTGGGAGAAAAATGCCATTTCTACTAGTATTTAGTTTCCATGATGAGATGAGTAAATACGACAGCAACAGGTGTCGCTGTCAGCTATGTAAAAAACACAACTAACAGGAAAATGTTCAAATACCATTTCACTTTAAAGGTCAGCATTTAGAGACCTGAGTGAAAGGTTTGAAAATGAATGATTTACTTGTGAAGACTTGACCTCTCCTTAAGGACTTGAGACTTTACTGGAGACTTGTCTCAAATGACTTTCAGACTTGACTTTAAAAATGATGAATGTCGTGAGACCTTACTTGAGATTTCAGACTTTAATTGGACTTGGCTTTCAGGTGACTTGAGATTTGACCTGGACTTGTCCTTAAGGTGACTTTACTTGGACTATTATGAAATGGCTTTGAGACATGCTATTACAGAACCTGAGTAGGGCTTGTCTGAAATGATTTGAGACTTGGACTTATCTTGAATCATGTGACTTAACTTAGATTTGTTTTGAATGACTTGACTTGGATGTCCTATTAGAAAACCTGAGAGTTGACCGGGACTTGTCTTGACTTGAGACTTCAGTGGTCCCCACAGGATGGCAGTTTAAGTATGGTTGGAACTCACCTTGTTTTTCTCTTAAGTAAAGTTACTCGTTCACAATCTTGACTTGGGCTTGTTCTTAAGGACTTGGGACTTGCTAGTAGAGGACTATACTTGGACTCACGGTGTTGTTTTTCTCTCTCAGAGCGAGTGACCCCTCTGAGCTGCCACCATGGCCCTGGTTCAGGCTCTGCCCATATCTGCTGAGCCCCGCAACCCAGGCCACAGCGGAGGAGCCCGCAGGAGATACCCCTCCGGCTCTTCACCTCCAATCAACGCGCCACCTTCCACTCTGGATCCTATGGGTTCTGTCAGCAGCCTCATTGCAACCCGCCCCGGCCCCTACCAGGACCACCGTTCTGGTGTCGAGCTGGGAGCCAGGGTCCGACGGCCCACGCCAGGCGCCTCCTGCCTGGGCTCTGAGTCGCCCCAGGACCCCTTGCTGCAGAGCAACCCACCACTCAAGAAACAGAGCTCCACATCGTCCAACAGGGGGCTGGAGAAGGAGAGTGGGAACGGGAACTATACCTATTTGAATGAGGACTACGTAGGTGACTGGAATGACAACCACGTAACACCTGGCAGCCCAGGAAGTGACGCAGACGAGATTAAAGAAGGGTTAGGAATGAATGGGAATATGGGAGGACCTCCTCCAAAACTGATCCCTGTGTCAGGAAAACTTGAGAGGGTGAGTCTGAATAAATTAATTTGATAAAATCTTATAGTAAAAGAGAATGTAAATGTAACTCTCACCTCCAAAATGACCTTTAAGTTAATTCAAATATAGTTTAATTGAAAACTGAACATTATAACTTTAATGAACGAAGAATTTATTGCAGGATGAAGTTAATAAAGGTTTATCTTATTTTAAAGGAGCTTAAAGTGAATTTTCTGGCATGGGAATTCAGTTGTAAATTCTTGCTTGCTTCTCAACACTCGTCCCATTTTGTACTCCTTCTCTAGAACATGGAGAAAACAGTGCTGCGGCCCACTGCCTTCAAACCCGTCATTCCCAAGAGCCGTACCTCCATGCAGTACCTCTCCCCTCGCCACTGTGCCAACGTACCAGAAAGCCAAAACAACCTGAACTTGCTCAGCCCCACTCACAGAGAGGTGTCGCCCTCCTGCACTGAGAAATGCAACTTGTACAGTAGGGCCCGCAATAGCGGCGGCGGCAGCGGCCACTCCTGTCAGCTGTCCGACTCTGGACGCAACTCCCTTGCCAGCCTCCCACCTTACAGCAACGCCGGCTACAGTCAGGCGTCAGGAGAGGCGTCCGCCGGCCACCTGGAGCCCATGAAGAGCGCCCCGCCTGTCAGTGGACATGGACACTCCAACTCAGACAGCGGGCGCTCATCTTCCAGTAAGAGTACCGGCTCCGGATCGATAAGTGGCCGTGGACAACCTCTGTCTGACAGCGGGTCAAGCGGGCGCTCCCCAGGCCCCGTGGAGGGTTATGAGGGGGTGGTGAGGGATCTGGAGGACAAGCTGAGGGAGAGAGAGCTGGAGCTGCAGCAACTCAGAGACAACCTGGATGAGAATGAAGCTGCAATTTGTCAGGTTGGTAGATAATGTAGTACAGACTTAACTTCACTTGACACCTTGAGACAACAAGAGTTTTCAAAGAGAAACACACACACTCTCACACTGGAGTTTGTAGTTAAAAAAAACACGGTTTTGGCTTAATGTTTCTGTAGCTTCAAAATCAATGCTGTCTCACTTTCACATGAATTTTTAAATCCAGTGCTGTTGGAGAATTTGACACAACTCCAAACTCGTCAATCGGTGGTTGTAAATCCTAATCCTTGTTGTTCTGTGTTTTGTTGCAGGTTTACGAGGAGAAGCACAAGCGCTTCGAACTGGAGCTGGAGGAGCTGAGACAGGGCTGTGCCACCAGGATGCAGGTAGCCTCACAGAAGGCCCAGCGTGCACAGCAGGTGCTTCAGTTGCAGGTCAGAACCTCTGACAGAAAGCACCAGTGATTGCTGTCATATTTCTACAAACAGTAAAAGATTACCAGAAGATACTTGCCAGAGCCACAGAAGTCTTTTTAAAAAATCTGTGTCATCTAAGTAGTTTACTACAGATACTGACTTTGGCACAGACGGCTTGAAGTTCATCAAGTAATCAGAAACAGGTCTGCATGCTTCTAATAGTCCTTTATTAGAATCTTATATGCGTCCTTCTTATTTAAATACATTATAAACAGCTGCAAGAAGTTCATTAATTCTTTAATCCACAAACCAGATAAAGGAGGTTTTATCTTCTCGTTGTTCTTCTAGCAACCTCCTTAAAAATATATATGTTTCCAGACATCATTTAACTTTAAACTACACGTGAGAGTTGCTGTCATTTGCGTACATCGATCACATGTTGAATCAATAGCTAAATTCCTGGTCTTACTAGGAATTGCTAAGTTCAGCTTGGCTGATACTGGCTGTGTCATGGTCTGCAGGTGTACCAGCTCCAGCAGGAGAAGAAGAAGCTGCAGGAGGACTTTGCTCAGCTCCTGAAGGAGAGGGAGCAGCTAGAGGAGCGCTGCACCTCCTACGAGCACGAGAAGATCCAGCTGGGGCCGCGGCTGGAGGAGAGCAAGTGGGAGGTGAGCACCACAACAGCAGGCTTTTTTTTTTTTAAACTAACATTTTATTCAGCAAGTACAGTAATGACTACAATAAAAAGAAAAGGTTTGGGTTGTAAAGTTTATCACACTGCCATCCTTATCGATTTTACCATTTCCCATCCATCCTTAAACTCCTATAACTCATATTGCTTTAAGCACTGCGCATATTATACCATGACTTTTATTTTAGAGCATCAATCTGACTTTGACAGCTCCTCCATAATATATTTAAGAATACATTAATTTTCCCTAATTAAAAGAAATCGAATTGAACATGAGGATTATTGTGCAGTGTGTGTCTCATTCATTCACTGAATACAGGAGGGGAAAGTGTCACAGTCTGACAGGCAGCATAATTAGTGGTTTGTTCATGTGATAGCACGGATGCAGGAAGATGAACTTTAAATGAGATGTTGCCTCAGGAATGCTTGTTATCATGAGTCATGCAGACCAATGGAACAGGCCGCCTCCCTGTCTTTATGAGCTCCAGACACGGATCAATAATAAAATTGATCTTCCCTGCTATTCGAGGTAATTCATTTTGCCACAAGGAATAATTTTAAGAAAATCTTAGTGCATTTGATCCCTGAGACTGATTAACTGAGCATTTTTGTCTTTTTCATATAGAGAGGATATATACATTTCACCCAAAGGCTCTTTTAATTATCATTCATTCGGCTGTTGTTACAGAACAATTTGCAGACTTATCCTGAACAATGACTGTGATGAATGAGATTTTGAGGTTTTGTAGACCAGTTTTGTACACACATCAATTAGGGTGCAAGACATGTGCAGCCTGACTTTAAGTAGAGCCTAAACACCAAAATACTTTTCCATCCTTATTGGAGATCAAATGATCTATTGAAATTCAGTGTGACAAGGTGCTTTTAACCAGACAAAGATCCAACAAAGACAGAAGAAGATGTTAATTGAGTTTTGGACTACTTAAACCTTCAGAAGAGGTTTTCCAATAAGACTTATATTAGATTGTTATATCTTTAGATCTGAAATGATTAGCTGATTAATCAATCAACCAATAAATTAAAACAACAAACTATTTTGTTACCAATTTGTTAAGCTACTAGTTTCAGTCACTTAAATGATAATACTTTCTGGTTGTCTTAGTCTTCCATCTTAGTAAGTTGAATATCTAAGTTGACAGCCAGTCAGCTGGAATATGTAAACTCTGGGACAGTGATTAACATTTTATAGACCAAATAATTCATTGATTGCTGGAGACAATAATTGGCAGATTATTGGCAGAACTATAATGAAAATAAAAGTTGCAACTTTAGTTTAGTTCTCTTTATTATTAATGAACATTTGCACCAAAATAAATATTCTTTACTGAACTGAATAGAATACATCCTGAATGTTTCTCTTTTTCCCTAAGGTCTGCCAGAAGTCGGGGGAAATCTCGTTGCTGAAGCAGCAGATGAAGGAGGTGCAGGGAGAGTTAGCCCAGCGAGTAGGAGAGATCGTTTCACTGCGTGGTCAACTCAGAGAGACTCGTGGCGAGCTGACAAACACCCAGGTCTTGCTCCAGGAGGCTCACGGCACAACACGCACACGAACCCTGGAGCTGGAGGTGTGTGAGAATGAGCTCCAGCGTCGCAAGAGCGAAGCGGAGCTACTCAGAGAAAAGGTCGGACGCCTTGAGGCAGAGCTGACTCATCTTAGAGAGGCTTTGGCCAATCAGGGTCCAGGAAACAGACAGTGTCAGGTGTTCCAGGAAGCAGAGGAGCACCTGCTCGCCTATGAGAGCGATGAGGCGAAGGCCCAGCGGCAGAGCAGCACCGAGGCCCTGCAGAACATGAAGGCGCAGATGGACAGGATGAGGGCCGAGCTGACCTATGAGCGTCAGCGGGCTGAGCAGCAAACGGGAAGCTTCGAGGAGGAGCGCAGGATATGGCAGGAGGAGAAGGACAAAGTTATCCGCTACCAGAAACAGCTGCAGGAGAACTACGTGCAGATGTACCGCAGGAACCGAGAGCTGGAGCAGCTCCTTCAGGAGCTCAGTCAGGAACTGGAGAGCAGAGAGGAGGACGAGGGCAGCGGCAACGAGATCAACTTCGATGAGATCGCTGCCACGGAAATTTGACACTTCTCTCCATCTTTTGATTTGCACTACTGTCAGCTAAAGGTTTTTTTTCCACCTACATGTCACAGATTTGATCTCTTGTGCTGTCTAGATGGAAACATATTCGGTCTAAGATTGCAATCAGATTGGTATAACAAATGTAAAAAAAGAAAAGAAAAAAGAAGCCATCTGCAGTGTAAAATCAGCCACACTTTAGTTCTGCCTCATTGGTCTATTCTCCAAGGAGTCCCACTTGAAAGCCAGTGACCGCTATTAGTGTTTAGTAGGCCACCTCAGTCCTCTGCCCCTCCATTAATGTCTGTGTTAGTGTTTGCACTAACTAACTAGACATCCCCGGCACTCTTCACCAGTTTTTTTTTAAGGCATTTGTGGGAGACTTTGACGTGTATGAGTAACTTCTCCCAACCTTTTAACTATCCTCTCGTGTTGGTGGTGACTCTACCTTCCCTGCTGGGTTTAGCACTACACACCCACTCTGTGTTAGCAGTCAGCTCTCATTAGTACAGTTAATTTGGATGGAGCCCACGCTGTTGTCAGTTGACAGTAAACGTGGGATACCACACATTCAGCATGTCATGATATGAGTGAGTGAATCAGAGCGAGGTGCTAGTGACGGTGGCTGCACTCTGGGTGATGTGAAGAGAATTATGTTGTCATTTTTTTTCTCAAAACCACTCAAGCCTTTATGTAAATTACATCATGACCAACAAGTAAACAGTAGATGTTTCCAGAATATGTCTACTTAAAAACAACATGAATCTAATGTTCCAACTATATATGGCACAAATTAGTTGTTTTTCTAACTGTGTAAGCAGACAGAATTGGTTCCTGGTCCAGTATGAGGCTATGCTTCTCATCTCCTGAACAATTTACTCTCAATGTTGGATATAATATAATGAACATCTGTACAGTCTTATGTAATTAAACACAATAACATCTGGAACAAAACACCTTACATTCAGTGCACATGTCAGCTTTTCTCTGCACACTCAGTGGGTCTGAAACACCTTCAAAAGAAGCTCTGTCGACCTATCGTCTGACGTCAGAAGAATGGATTAAATCACTTCTCCTGTAGTGTAGGAGATAATAGATCAAATCTTCTACCACGGTGTACGTGAAGTAATTATATACTCAAATATCGATATACTATATATCATTACATTGTAAATCAGGAAAATCAATGGGTCTTTTTCACAGCAGACATGTTGGCTTGTCATATCAGGAAAAACATTACACAGGTGTAATTAATAATATTAGTTACGACTGCATTCCACAACCAGGAATCCAGTGAGACCCAGTTCCAGGTTTCTGATATCGGGAATAATAAACAGTGTTGTGAGTCAGGGGGAGGTCAGAATCAGTTTTTTGGACTTGAGATATTGAAAGGGATAGAACAGTATAAACCCTATGACAGAATTGGTGATGGCTGACACATTTAAATTGTCTAATGGTATACCGTATGTCCTTGTATCACCCATTCCTGCGGTCTTAAACGTCCAGTGTGTAGACTTTAGTGGCATCTAGACATGGAGAAACTATGCTGGCCATGAAATGCACGGAAAAACACATTCTGGACTACTGTAGAAAACATGGTGGTTCAACATGACGGCCTCCATGTAAGGCGGCCCATAACAATTCTTATTTTCAGGGAATTACATACATTACACATATTTTATTCTATTTCTGCCAGTAGATCCTTCTAAATGTTACACACTGGACCATTAAATCCAGACCTAATAACGCCTAACAATCAGTGTGCTAATACTTTTCCAGTCAAAGAAATATACATACAGTTGAGAAAACTGTGTCACGGTACTAAAGCACACCCACAATGGCTCTTCTTGTATCTCATAATCGGATAGTAATTACTTTACTACTTCCCTCTCTAAGAGGTGATAAAAGATTGATTACTGTGTGTGGGTGATGTGTTACTAAGATTTACTGAATGGAAATCGTGCACTGGATGCTGGGTGTTTTGGTATAAACTATTTTGACCATGGCCTACTGTTTTTCCACCAACCTTTCCAGTGAAGGATCTGTTTCGTTTGCATTTACTTCCTCGTACAACAGAACCAAGAGAAGAAGGCATTCTTTGTTCCTCTGTTACTGCTGATTGAATCATCGTCCTCTGTAAATAGTCCTGACAAATCATAAAGTTTTTCTTCCAGAGATGTCTGTCCATCTCAAAAAATAAAAACATAGCCACTGTGAATAGACCAAAGCAATGTCGCACATTATATTTTGCTCCTACAGATACGATGCCTGTATATTAATGTTTGTGTGGATGTTTGTTCCGGTTCCTCAGTATAATTTTATAATCCACAATATTTGTATGGAGACATTAAATGTATATTTTCATGCTGTACATTTCTTGAACAAACCTACTATGTTTTTAATTAAAAAAGACTAAATTTAATATCTGCGTGGTGTACATGGAGATTTGTTCAACTTCATCCAACTGCTTCCTAAATCAGAAAGTTTTACAGTAGATGTTTCTCCTTTAATTGTATAACTGCACCAAATTATTTACACCCCAATCTGAGTTTTCTTGCTGAAATAAAGACTTTAAGTTTATTTATTGTTTTCAGAATTCACCCAAGACATTGAATAACAGTTTTATCTGGGTTGGAATGCTTTCTGATGGCTGACTGGTTCATTTACTCTACAGTACTCGTTTACATTTAGGCAATGTTTTAAGGTTTGCGGTTTCCTTCAGCTGCTACCCAGAGGAGAAAAGTTTCTGAACAGCTCATGTCTGCCCCCTGCAGGTCAAACGTTTGATTTTCAAGCCAACTTAAAAACATGGAGTCAGACTTTATGTTCAGTCCACAGGGCTTTTAAAAGGCACTCAAGTTACAGTTTGCAGTTTGTCTTCCTGCACATTTAAAATTCAGTACATACATACAATGCTGATCCGTGACACATCTACATGTTTTGAGAGGGTTGAATGTTAATGACATAAAATGTAAAAAGAAAATCATGTTCTTGACTGGTGTTGGCTCCTGGGTTGTGATAAAGTGAAATATTAAGGCATCAGGAGCACCATTTCATTATTTCAGGCTTTGAGGACACATTTCATTTACTATAAATGTATTTTGCTGCATCTGCAGTTACAAAGTTCCTCTCATTGTATTCATTCATTTGCGTAAGCCTTCTCTCAAGTCCTGCGATCTGCTGCCTGGAAGTTGCTGGACAGTCACCAGTGTCCGTGTCAACATGAATGGCAAAATTACATACCTGACCTCAGAGCACATCAGTGTGTTTGGGCTGGAGTTCAAGTTTTCCTGTCTCTGTGTTAGTCCCAGAGGCTGCTAATTACAGTGACATTTTTCTAGACATTGTCTCATGTCCTCTTCAAATGTTTTTGGGGACTTTGACCACAAATACCATCGGGTCTTTGGCCTTATTGCTGAAGGCTTTCCGGATGATGTCGACAGCATGCTGATGGGTAACTCCTTGCAGGGAGACTCCGTCCACAGACACCAACTCAAATCCAGCCTGGGCACACCAGGGAGAACATTTAAGTCAGATACAGTGCAAATACACTAAAGTACAAACAGTCTGTGTGTCAACAGGGCGTCTGCAGGTATTGGATTTAGTTTTCTCAAAAGAAGGTAAAGTCTTTAATTTATCTTAAATATTTACTCCTGCTTGCCAAAAGTAATAATGTAACTTATAAAATGGTTTTGTATCCGATTACAGGCTGTATTGAAAAAACTGATTTCTGCACACTTACATCAATGAAATATATCACTTCATAAATATGATATTCTCCATGGATCCATTTCAAGTTCTAGTTTTGATTCAAACCTTTTTTGTGGAGTTTCGTCAGCACCATCAGACCTGCAGCAAGAATGGTCACTAGTGCAGCTACGGTATAAATTTGGAACAAAAACTTAAACTTGAAGGAACTTCATTTATCATTTTTAACTGGTTAATCCCACTTTATCCATTTTCCGTAGCTTATTTGTGTCCAGGATGTTTTTTTTATTAATTACATCCTTAGAAATTATTGTTATATATTGCTGGAAAATAGTTAAAAAAGTGTTGATATCGGTATGATTGTGTGAAGTATTAAATGACATTCTTTGTGGTCTTAAAAGGTCTTAATTCAATGAACCCTGCAGGAACCCTGGTCACTGACCTTGAGCACTTCACATGTGGAGGCGGCTCCTCCAGGAAAGATCTTCTCAATCTTCACCACCGGCTGAACCTTCGACTCCATCCCACCAGATATACTGATGCCTAAAACACAACAGCAATGGCAGTCAGTCACATCTTTTATATTTGTGTACCTTTAATACCACGTGTGTCACAGGTACTGGTTAGTGTTAGACACCAGGTATTGGAAAACTGTAGTCAACTAGTCATATTTATCCCACTATGTACAGTAAAGTGAGATTTTGTGCAGCTAGTATTTTGCAGTATGCATGTGTCCATGTTAACATTAAATTATTCTGAATGTGTAAAGAGAAGATTGTTTACAGACAGTCAGTCCACAGCATTGACTAGTAGTTATAGTAGTTAGTGAAATCCTGATAGAAACTAGATCTGGGGCTGAAAATATTACCTGTTGGAGTGAATTATTAAATATATTGACCACGTTAGGCACACATTTTAGACATAACATAAAATTACAGTTGTTTACTTTATGTAACTACCATCCCTCACTTTCTCCTAGTGGTATTTAGCCATGTGATCAGTTTTGGTCTGATTTGGTTTCAAGAGTCTTTGAGATTTCTGCCGCATTAATGCTCATTAAAAAAAAAAAACCCATTAAAAACTATCTTCTAGGAACAGTGTCTCTGTAATCCAGACACCTCAATATGAACAGGTTTTATGGAGACGACTTCCTCAAAGTAGTTATTTTATAGGAAAGCGTTTAGGAATATTTCACATGTTGCTGGGATTTATCATCTCACTCCTGCCGTTTTATATGTTTATCCCCCAGTGTTTTATGATCTACGTTTTTATTTCCTGTTTTTCTTTTTTTGTAGATAACTTTGTAACTTTGTTAATAAAAGTGCCATATAAACAAAGTTTATTATGGTTTATATATATAGTTCCTATGAAATCTGTTCACAGCTGGTTCTGTGGACTGTTCTGAATAATAATAATAATAATTTTTAAAAGCTGTGGACAAATAAAGCTTTATGGTGATTGTTTTGGGGCAGAGGCAGAAATCTCAGTCAAAACCTGGACAAATAAAACTGAAACTACTTGCATGTTAAATATATTTGGCTGCCCAGACATTAAAATGTACCTAGTGACTGTTTGGTCTTGGAGATGCTGACAGTTTTCAGCTTGTACTCCTGTTCAGGGTTGGAGCCATTGAGTCCATTCTCTGATGAGGCCTGATGTCCGTTCATCTGTCCGCTCCCTGCTTGTTGATCTGGTCTTGAACTGAACACCTGCGACAACAAGGGCCGACTCCTGCGAGCGGCACTCTGCAGTGTGAACACACTTTCTTTATTCCTGTCTCCACTTTTCTCCTTTTTGCTTTTGGAGTGGCCGTTTCTGAACGGGGACCTTCCTCTTTCTGAAGTCGAGTGCAGTGAAACCTCGTCAAAGTGGACGGAGCGAATCGTGCCGATGTCTGTTCGGAGAGGAGGGTGGGAGTGATCGCTGCGGGCCAGCAGCCAGTTGGGGAGCATGGTGCTGGCGGAGGGGGGTCTGAGGTCTCCGGACTCTGTGTCATATCCATCCACAGGTATGTCCAGCAGCGGGGTGAAGGACCTGGAGGTGTAGGGCCTCTCCCTGGACCCCCGGGGTGCAGACAGACTGAGCTTCTCTAGCTCTTCCAGTAGGTGGCTCTCCTTCTCCACCTCCTCAGCATTGTGGAGCTCAAAGCCTCCTCTGTAATCTGGAGGGAAACACAGGTTGGATAGGTTTGACAGTTCTGGGCTACCGTAGAAACATGGCAGTCGAACGTGGCAGACTCCTAAAAACAGCTCATTCTAAGGTAATGAAAACTGATTATAGATTTAATGAATGCAACCAATAAATATTATATTAAATTTCTGGCAATAGATCCTCCTAAATGTTACACACTGGACCTTTAATCATTATTATTATTACAGAATAATACAAATAAAATCAAGTTCAAACAAGCAAAATGAATTAGTGTTGTAGTTGAGCTCAAAAGAACTGACCTGGGATCGGAGTGATGAGGCGCCGTTTGGGCGCTCGACCAGACATGGGAGAGCGGAGAGGAGGAGTTCGGACTATGGTTCAAAGAAGAGAGAATAGAGTGTAACTACGAGTGTTCAGAGTTATGTTGCGTGTTTATTAAAGCTACTGCTGTTTTTGCATGTAATCAGACTGATTGTGAGATTCAGCATGTATCACACGCACTTGAGCGATACTTGAGGATATCGTAGGCCTCCACTTCGATGGGGGTCACCATGTTGTTGAATGCACTCAGGTCAGACGGAGGAAGCAGCATCCTGAGAAACAAGAAAAGGCTGACTCATTTTCATTGTTGTGTTAGATTGCAAAACATTTTTAATTAGTCACCAGTGTCTTACTGTGGAACATTTGGATTTGAGAGGATTATCCTGTAAAATACTTAATCCCCTTCTGGCAGTATTTGTAATACCACTGTTTCTGTTTGGATTTACAGCAGGCAGTTGGAGGAGAGGGTAGACACAGTTTCTCCACATTTATATCATACAGGCAAAAAAACATCCTAATGGTATAAATGTATATTTTACCAGTGATATCAGCTTGATGAAGCCATATGAAGAAATGGCTTTAAAATGTACTGCAATGATATTGTCTACTTACTATCTAAAATACAATACAGTAAAGGTCTTAGTTTTAGTCTTTAAGTTGGTCAGAGTGGGAAATGAGTCAATGTTTTTGTATTGTAATACCAATTCTGACAAATATCCTTATATTATAATAAAAAAACTAAAAACTAAACATTTTGAAACAATAAAAATTAAACTGAAAATAGCAAACCCACTCTAGAGAATTAAAAAATCTATAATTACTCTGATTCAGTAGCTGTATCACAGTAGGCTTTAGAGTAAATATCTAGTAATCCTTGCTCTCCTTACCTGACTTCCCTCAGCAGCAGCAGCTTTTCAGGTCTGTCCAACACGACCAGCAGGTGGCGTATCAAGTTCTCCACTGACCGCTCTGCCACGTACTGTTAGGAGTGACAATAAAAATCAGAGGTTCAGAATCCAGTTGATAATACTTTAATGTGAAATATGTTGTAGGAATTCTGTGATAAATACTGCAAACACAAACACCTTTATGGCCAGTCCAAAGGTTAACATTTATTAACTGAAATGCCTCAGTCTGTCATCTGTCTGCAGCTGTGAACAAAGCTTCTTACCCTTCGACACGTCTTCATCACAGCAGCCACCTCCTCCTCAGTCAGCAGCCTGCGGGCCATGTCCTCCACCACTCCGAGCATCTCTGAATTTGGCATCACACTGACCTGTCGACCTGAAAACATGACAGTGGAGAATCAGTTTGGTGCTGCTGCTGGACCATAAATACCTCTCTGCAGTCCAACTGACAATTTTTAGTATAATATTAATATAAGTAAATAAAATGTGTGTTAATCGAGGCTAAAAACCTGTGCAGCATTTCCTCCTATTTAGGTAACGTTTGCTAAGTTTTAGGAAATTATTGAGCCTTTTTGTAAAAAATAAAACTACATATTTGTGACTGTGAGGATTTAAATCTTGTGGGAGTGAGAGGGTCCCACAGACAGGACTGACGAACACACACATTGTTGGTTTTGATCTTTCTTTGCGATCTGTTGACCATTTGAAAAGTATAATGGCATGTGCTGAAACCTTTTGTAATCCTATGTAGACGTATTTACTTCATATCCTTTAGATTAGTAGTGATGTATCTGTTTTTTTGCCAGCATCTTTACAGGCCATGCAGAAAATCCTCTAACTTTCTGTTTAAGTGGGAATAAAACATTTTTAATGCAGCTACCTTTGCCAGCCTTGTCTGTGGACGGGGACTTTGAGCGCCCCCTGGAAGCGTCTCTTTTGCGTCCACCCTTGAATAGCAAGTTGACGAAAGTCTTTGAGCGCTGCAGGGTGCTCTTCTCCTCGGGGTCCTTCCCTTTCTGCTTCTTCTCCTTCTTCTGCTTGATCTCTGTGATTGGATAACAGTAGGTCATTTCTGAAGCTCAACTGTTCCATTTATTTAATAAACTTTTTATGTTACCCACTCTCACCTGCCACTGTGACTTGGCTCTGGGACCTGCTGATTGGTCGGCTCGGCCTGCTGAGAGCCATCAGCACGGCTGTCTTGGGGGACTCTCTCCTGCTGCTGGCTTCCTCTGCGCGGATCACTGAGTCTCTGAGCAGAGTGGTTCTTCCCAGGCTGCGAGTGGTTTCTGCACCCGTCTTCTGAGAAGGAAGGTCCGTCTGGATGGCGGTCTCAGTTCGCTCTGACTCAGACCTGAACAAACAAACCACCACAATCATCTCTGGTCTAGTCTTAAGTGTACGTAAAGAGTCTAGAACAGAAATTTGGGCAAATAAGCAAGCTGAGCCTGACCTCTGGTCCTCAGTAGAGATGCAAACATCCACCATGTCTGAACCGAACGGCAGGCTGGGAGGGAACATGACCTGCGACAGGCCGCTCAGAGAGCTGACCGGAGTCCCGGAGGACAGAGAGGAGGCTGAGGAGTTTGAGTCCGAACCCTGGGAGGAAGATTTCTGACTACCATTGGCCACTGAGGAAGAACACAAAGGGATTATCTAACTCAAATGTATCAAGCTTTTCTTACAGTGTACACATTCACAGATAAGGGACTCACAGAAAAACAGAAATGCTCATATGATACATACGCTTATTGAGCCACCTGTATTCTGCCACCATCTCCTTATAAGCAGGGTATCGTCCTGCTTCCTGTGAAGATATGGTCACAGATATGCAAATGGGATACAGTAGAGACCTTGAAACTTTTATGGGATCGCTATATTTGATAAAGAGTAACCCTAGAAGCACACAGAGATCCAAAACTATACCCCTCCTCCTCCTCCTCCTCCAAGACAAACACATTTCCCTCCTTGACTTTCTAGTAGCCTTTGATAGCTGGGATGCTTTCTAACTCTAGTATGTGTTTCAGTTTCAGTGGAGCAAAAGCGACAGATCCTGAAACAAAACTTGCACAAAACACGGCTCTAAGCTTTGATCAGCACCTGATCCCAGCTGCCTGGTGAATAATGCACACGGCCTGGCTATTTTTCACAGCGCGAAACCCAAGCTCCGACAAGTAAAGTGAGCGAGGAATATTACGACTGCGTGCCAGCTGTCGGGCCCTGCCACACAAACCGGCGCTATATCCAAAGTGTAGCGACGCGGCTCAGGTAGTTTGTATTTGGTTTTCGTGTGTCATGACAGAATTAAAGACGAAAGGTAGGAAACAGGTCAGAAAGATAATGCATGTCAGGTCATCTAAACGAGGCGGTAATGAAAGAACCGACACTCTTTCTAATAACAAAGAGTCGACATGGAACGTGATACACCCTCTAAAATGCCAAACATCCCCACTTTCAACTGAGACAACTTTAATTCTGCTAATAATGATGTATAAGATGACGGCTACCACTTCTTATTAACAAGACATCTCTTCATTAGAATTCACCTATGTACCGACATATTTGTCTATCAAATTGCATTACTTTTGCTCCCTGGAATGATGAATTTGACCATTTGTCTTCTAAAAAACTGGCAAAAAAAGCAGTTTCTGTTGACACCATAGATTTGTGTCAGCTCAAGATGCTACACAAAGCATTTCTGAATGAACCTCGTCAACACTATCTTCATATTTACTCCTGTTTCAGCTGAAAATACTGGAACCACTGAAATGCTGTTTTCTCGTCATGTCTTTTAAGTATGGTGTTGAAAAAACTAAAGACATGCACTAAGATAAAAAAAAAATACAATTTGGAACAACACAACTTTTTCAGATATTTACAGTTAAACTAATATTTCCTAAAAGAAGCAAAAAGCAATCACTCTTATATAAATACAGGCTGATCCACCTAAAGTAGATAACTTCAATTCTGAAGAAGATTCCTGAGAATCTTTTCCTACTATGATTGAGAAATAATTTGTACATTGCAAAGACAAAATGGATAATACATTTGATTGAATAAGGAACATGGCTGGTCCTCACTGCTGTTTGTTTTACCCATTGTGGATAATTATATGCAAATTATGTAGAGCATGATAAAGCAATTATGTTACTGTTCTAAGCTATTGTTCTTGACATAAGATAAATAAATAAATAAATAAATAAATAAAATAACAATTTAAAAAATGTAAAGCAAAGCAACATTTTTGTGCAAAAAACATTTAGTAAATATCATCTGTTAGGAGTTTTCTCTTTAATATGAATTCAGTTATTGCATGCTGCACTGGACTGAGGGTCAGTGCTGTTCATATCCGCTCTCACCTTGATGGTCAGCATGACATGCGTGTGGCTCTTCAGCACCTCCACAGCACTACTGTGGCTGATGTCCTCAAAGTTCACGCCATTGGCAGCCAGGATCTGGTCCCCCATCTTTATTCCATTCTGCTCAGCCAGACCACCCGGATCCAGTCTGAAATAACAAGACAGGACTGAGTACAAACAGCTCAATAAATGTAGTGAAGTGATGAAGAAAATGAACAAAAACATGGTCTAGAAGAGTCTGTTTTCCATGGCAGAGGTACCTACTTGGAGACATAGATGCCCAGACCAAACTCCTTTCCCCCACGGATGTTGAAGCCCAGGCAGTAGTCGTCTGAGGTGGTGTAAAGGTGGACGATCCTTTGGAGGGCGCTTCCTGAGCTGGTGTCCGAAGGTGTCCGTCCACTTTCCTCCACCACCATACGCCTGTGTATCAAGTCCACCCTGGAAGAGTTTCCTGTCGGTAAGAATCTAATATTTTTTGTTACGACCTGAGCTAATATGAACAGGAATAGTTCTTTATCACCATGTGGTCTTCTCCTTGGAGTAGCGGATGCCGGGGACTTTGCCCACGCGTCTCACCACCATCCTCAGCCTGTTGTTTCCTGTCAGGACCTTCACAGCACTGCTCATGGTGATGCTCTCCAGGCTGATACCATTCACCTCCACCAGTTTATCACCTACAAGCAGGCCGGCTTCCTCTGTAAACAAACACATGGCATACTGTAACAAGAGCAACACAAGTTACAACATCAGCTACTACAGTTATGTCCTTAAATCACATTATTTCTACATAGTTTACCTGCAGTACTGTTGTCCTCCACCTTACTGACAAAGATGCTGAGGCCATGTTCTGAGCCTCCACGCACGCTGAAGCCGAGCTTGCCGTCCACACTTTTATCCACTGTGATCGTATGGAGGTCCTCGCTGTCATCTCCGCCTAAAAATATCACATGGATGCTGTGTCAATAAGCCACTGAAGTCACTAACTGTATCGGACTCCTTCATCGTATTTGACATTTCATAATATGCAGACATGGTTCACTATATTTGGAGCAACACTCTTAACACACAGGGTCAACAGTCTAAATATTTTTCATTTGTCTTCACATTTATTTCTGATCTGATCTGATCTGATCTTCAGGCCTCCTCTAATGATCAAAATTACGAGGGGTGTAAACAAATATTTAAAAAAATATTACAATATTGTGGTTTGTGATATTGTATTGATTTTTGTGTGTAAACCCCCGGCTTTCTAGCTGTGTTGTTAACATTTCTTTACTCAGATTTTATGCATATGGTGGTGTGTATCACCCTACTTACAGTATCGCAATATATCATAAATTGTAACCCCTGTATCGTGATACATATCATATCACCAGATTCTTGCCATTACACAGCCCTAAAAATGACACATTAATGTTCACAATACTGTTGAATTGAATATTACCTAATGCACACGTGGTCAACAGGTTAGGATAACAAAGTCTCCATCACGCCCACTAGCAAGTTTGTTCAAAATAAAAATGCAGCAAAGTACAGAAACAGCTCCACGAGGAGCACAAGGTGTTTTTTTTGCCCTGGGTTTCGTATCTCATGCAATATAGAGGATGCCAGCGTTATTGTTGGAGGTTGTTAGTACAAAGTTGAGGTTACTCATCTGAGTTTACAAACCCCTATGCATTTTATAGTTTATATTCTCCTAAAAATGTTAAACTTGAATGTCAATCAAAAATAGGGCAGTAAAAATGTAAATAAAACACTATCCATTCTAAAGTATCAGGTCTCTGTCAAATAAAACTAAATGTAACTTGAAGTAAAGTTAGTGAATTAATTATACAGGTAAATTTTCTCATGTTGTTTCTGTTGTTATTGACATTGTTATTCTCTCAGGTAGCTGTTTGTTGCAGAGGCGTGCATATATGCGTATGGTTTATGACACCAAACATATTTTTCTGAGACAAAAAGGTTGAGAACCACTGATCAGGTCAGTATAATGCAGTCCTTATGTAAGATAGTAGGTTAAGTAGTTTATTAACCATTTATTAAATTTAATCCAGGACTATATTTGTACAAGAAATACCACACATTCTTTGCCTGTTCGCCTCACACACCAGCGTTTTGTCTCCAGTAGGCTACAGGTTGTAATATGCACTACACACTCACACAGCCCCACCACTCCTTACCATCCACAGGAGAGTTGATGAGGATGACCCGGCCCATGGGTGAGGAGGATCGGATTCCACGCCGGCGCTGCTCCTTCTTCCGTAAGAGGTTGCGCGTAGCCGTGTGTGACCCTTGGGTCCCGGGGGTCTTCTCCCTGCGGGACGGGTCTGACGAGTGAGCCATGGAGGCTGGCAGAGTCCCCTTTCACACACGCTCCAACGGGGACTCAGCTCCGGGTGGAGGAGTCTACAGCGGCACACGGCAGAAGGAAGGGGCTCCTCAGGCAATGTGTCCGCTGTGTCCCCTGCATTCTGAGACTAGTTTATGTTCACAGAAAGATCACAGCTGCATCGTAAACACACGCACACATGCATTTTGGGAACTGGCAAGGATAACCCAACTCACCGACACAAGCTGCTTTCTGACATGATAGCCGACTCTTTGGCTTCCCGGAGTCACACTTTGCTCCATTCCTGCCCATGTTGCATCTCTCTCACCTGCCTGAGTCTGACAGAAAAAAAACAACAGTTGGTGGATAAATAAACACATCAAGTAAACAAGTACAGCAATTAATTAACATCTAAAATATCTAAAGCATGTCTTAAATTGTATAACATTGTACAGCCTTTATAACTCACATTACATTAAGAACATAGGAAAGACCAACAAATAGCCAGTATTTGTCACTGCAGGTGAGGTCAGAAATAGGATTTAGCTCAGACCTGACCCACTTAGAGTCAGGACGTCACATGGTGTTGATACCATGGTTACATGTCACTAAACTTAACCCGTGATAACAGTGTGTCCTCATGTCGTCACCTCGGGGTTCCCCCAAACGTCCCGCAGAGACTTCAGCACCCCGGACAGCGACGGCGTCAAAAGGCGACGTTTAACGTTTGCGTGAAATTCTCGAGACCAGGTAGATTTTAATTGAGTTTATTTGCGTCTTTATTTTCTACGCAACTTCTGCGTTTATTCCGCTACCAACATTTTGACACTTGCGGGAACAAATGGAGACTTTTAACAAAGAAACCAACCGCAAAACCAGAATACTTACCACATGGCAGCTCTTCTCTTATATTCTGCTTAAATACAACCTGACAACAGACACTGAACCGCACACTGATATGTGACAGCAGAAAGTCTTCCTCGTATCCCTTAAATGCATCCCATAATCTGTACATCAACCAAACTACGTCAGCTAGTTAGCCTACCTGAGTCCATGTTGTGCAAAATGAGCCAACGCACCTGCCTGGGACATTTCTCTCTGTGGGGAAAGTCTCCGCCCCATGAGCGTGTCCATTGGCTGGACTGTAGTTAATTAAGAGCATTTGATTGGACAATAAATATGCCAATCAACTGACAGCGTGTCAGAACTTTCTGTGCATCAGATTCTGATGTAACGGTACTGCAATGAGTGGTTAATTCAGTACAACAATACTGGGATTATTTACACAAATCTTTGCATTTATTAAATGATAAATGACTTCAATAAATTCTTAAATTAAAACATGAATCATATTTATTGTACATATTTTAATGTATTGTGGTTTGAGTTGGTTTTTAAGCAGCAGGCCTGTCTCCTCAGTGGTTAAGACACTGACTGTCATTAACAAACATTAACCAAATCAAACTGAAACACATTAACTCAGATGCTACTGATGACATCATCGATATGAAACACATTAAATTAATATTTAATTGCAGATCTTGCACAACTGCAGCTTTAAAGGTAGGGTTGCTTCAGGTGAAAAGGGTTTTCATTTTTATGCTTCCACCTGAAAATCTTTTAGATGAAACAATCCCCGAGGCAAATATTGCCTAACCTCTTCACAAGAGATCAAAAGTAAACACTGCTTTAAAGGGTCACACACCAAAAATGTTGGGAACCAGTGTTTACGTATTAATGTTGTTAAAAAAACTACTTTTCCCATTAACACTGTTAACACTGATATACTGTTTATTTATTGTTTGACTGTACAGGTTTTACATTTTGTAAACAGGCCACAATGATTTTTTCTTCCACCAAGCTTTAGCAACATTTTGGGCCTGATGAGCGGCACCATCTTTCTGTTTTTAAAACAATTCAGCAGACTTCCTGTGACACTGGTCACAACATGTTACCTAAAACTGCATGTATGCTGCCTTCTTTTCTTCTGTCTTCTTGTTTGATTTATCATTTCATCTAAATCGTGCTATACAGGACCTTTACAAAAAAGAAATAATCATTTTGTAATCCAATGCAGAAAACTAACCACCTGTAGGCTGCCACTCTGGGTGTGTGAATACTGCTGATTCTGGGTTCTGTCATTCACGCACAGTACGGTACAAACACTGAACTACACCAGTGATTGGCCACGACTCAAAAACACCACCAGACACAGGCTGGATCATGTCATCATTGCAGGCTGTGTGGTGTTGATGGAAGAACAATGGCAGACACAACCGATGAGAACAGATGTTGAACCATTATGAGTTACATGAGAATATAAAGGACAGATGTATCCTGTTTTTAAGTTTTAGCCTCTTTCCCACTACTAAAATATCCAATACTGTGGGTTTTTTTCTACTTCAAAACACCTCAATCGACACATAAAAGTGCATCATTTAACTTTTAGCAACATTAGTGGCCAATACTGAATATATCTAGATCTTGTAAGTATACGAATGTGTATTATATCTCACACATTCAGTACAAACACAAATAGAAGATATTAATACAAACACATGCATACAGTACCTCTCTATACAAGGTACAGCCAGGACGCCTCATAACCTGAATCACTGCTCCATTTCTCTCCCATAATGTCAGACCTTTCACTCCCATCTGCAGAATCACATAAAACATACACACTAACTGAACATGATTTCTTTTTGTTGGAGACGCTGGCAGACAAAGTTACATTTAAAGCAAAAACGTACCGTGCTAAAATATAAACTGAGCTAATGTGTTTTTGTCTACAACATTATTTGTGAACTCCTGATGTTCCAGCTTCTTCCAGAGAAGGCTGACTCCATTAGGTATAGGTTTGTGTTGGCAAGGGCCACCACAACTATCAGTGTGGCCACAACTGCCAGAGCCACATACCAAACATCAAAAGTTTCCCCTTCAGGATGAAGAGCACAACTAGAAGGAGCAGAGAAAATTAATTAATCTTTACAAGCTTCATAAAAAGAAGTTGCTATTTGAGAATGAGTCATATTCAAACATTATTGTATACGGCAATACAAGTTCAAGGCTATGGTATCCCAAAGAACGACTCCAGCAAAACCTGTTTTCCCTGTAACTGTCTCTTTTCTCCTGTTTTAACTTGAAGAGAGCTCATTTAGCAGAGTTAATATATCTCAGGTGATAATACATTAATGAAAACATACCATTAAATATTATATATATTATATTCCATTTCTGCCAATATAGTCTTTTAAACGTTACACACTGGACCTCTAAGTAAAATATTCTTGAACATGTTAAATAATTTAACATATTCTCAACCAATTCTAGTTGACATTACTGAGAGCAGCTTCTTCTCTATTACTCTGAATGGTCACCACAAGCATTTTTATCTGCATTATACACCGATCAGCCGTAACATGACCACTGACTGGTGAAGTGAATAACACTGATTCTCGTTATCATGCCGCCTGTCAGCGGGTGGGATATATCAGACAGCAAGTGAACCTTTTGTCTTCAAAGTTAATGTGTTAGAAGCAGGAAAAATGGGCAAGAGTGAGGATTTGAGAGACTTTGACAAGGGCCACATTGTGATGGCTAGACGACTGGGTCAGAGCATCTCCAAAACTGCAGCTCTTGTCAGGTGTTCCCAGTCTGCAGTGGCCAGTACTGATCAAAAGTGGTCCAAGAAAGGAAAAGAACATCACAGTTTGTTGCATGTGGGGCTGCATAACTGGTTGATGGGTGTATACTGAAAAATATCAAATAACATTTACACAGATAAAAGACAGCATATGTCTTAAATAGGCCAATATCAGATGACATTATCAACCAACCAATATATCCGTTGGGTTCCAGAACAAAGTAGACCCACAGGAAAAGCAGGTAAAGTTCATTTTATGTTACTAAATCCTGAATTACACACCCCGAATGTGCTTCGACTATAGTATTATTTTAAAATACAGGAATAGCAACCAGTTTCCATAGTGGTTTCAGTGAGAGCTGAAAACTCCAGACTGTAATTCTGGTCCAGCTACTGCAACGCAAACACATCAAAAAGTGTCTGCTTTTGTGTGAATTGGACAGAAGTTCCCATATTACTAAATGTGAAAGAAGCCCCTGCATGAAACCAGACTGGTCTTGCATGGTGATGTTGGCTCTGAAAACGGTCCCACCCTCTAGCCACTGGAATTCAGACGCCTTCTCAGGAAGTCCAACATGTGAACAACTTCTTCCAAGCAGTGAATAATAATAAAAAACAAACTGGTGCACAAATCCATGTTTTATTGGTCAAAAGGTCACCGGTTCTTGGCTCCAAGATAAACAGTATCACAGAGTACTACAGAAAACTGAGTGTCAGACATCAGGTCTGCTTGCTCTCTTGAGTTTAAAGACAGACCATCATTAACACACTCCGAGCCTATTTCTACACAGTCATACCCCCAAAATCCTGGTTTCCACCCCCCCCAGAGACCAGTACACCAACAAACTCATGTGCACTTCACAAATATTTTTTTTTTTCCTTACACACTAAATGTTAACTTTAGATTTTCTGAACAATTATATCATTTGTATTTTTTTAATGTATTTTATGGTTCTAAACTTTCTTTGGTATGTCAAGGTGATTAACTGCATGTTTTTTTTTTTTAGATAGACAGATATGAGATTGTTATCCACCATTGGTAATAGAAAGCCTTATTTCTTCTCTAAAGACAGAAGTTCTTGTGATATTCTTCTGGCAGCTCTTATGACGTTTAAAATGTTGACTTTATCTCCAAATTCAATCTCTCGGTGCTCCAGAAGTATTCCCTGCGGGACAATAAAACAATGTTTTTCCTCTAACAAAATATAGATTATATAGCTCCAACTGTGTGTAATACATGGATTTTACTAGTCAACTCATTGTTACTGTTAGAACAATTCTTGTCAAGTAGATTGTAGAGGTCTTACCTGCTCTCCTCTTCCAATAACGAAGACCCCGCCGAGGACGAAGCCCTCTCCCAAAACGTTTCCCACAAAGCCGTTCTTAAAGGCCCTCAGGCCGTTCATCCACACCCCGACACGCAAGAAACCCAGGAGACCCATCTTCCGCTCACGGGGCCCATAAAAACGCCTCTGCAAAACAAGACGACAAACCACAGACTGAATCATTCATGCAGACTTAAACCAATTTCCCACCGATCCTGAATGACTTCAGTGTGTTTCCAAGAAGTCATGGTGAAAAACTGGCTAAAGCCGGTTTTGAAGATGTGTTCCTTCTCCTCAGTATCAGGGGGAAACTGACCACACAATGTACCGAGTCATTACAGAAAACCAAACAGTCCCACCTTCTCATCCAAGAAAATCTCCCCCTTGAAGTACGGTCTGAAGTTCTGGACCTCGGTGCCGACGTCCTCCTTCACCACAGCGTACAGAGGGACCCCCAGCTCATCCAGCTGGGGTTTCAGAGAGGACAGCTCTGCAGCCTCCTGCAGCCAATGGGGATATAAAACAGATGAACAAAAGCTCACTGCGTATGTACGATAAATACAAAAAGGCACTGCACACAGACGGTGAATAAATACAATCCAGCTGTGAATTAACACATTTTGAGATCGTTTTAGTTTTTGAATTTAGGATTTTTTTTAAGGTTTTGTTTTGTGTATTGAAGTTATTTCGTAAAGTTATATTTTGTATGCATTGCCTATTTTAGTGGGATTTTTGGATGCATTACTTACACTTAATGGATTCATTGTATTTGTATTGCCATTTACCTTAGCGGCTAAGCAGGCTCCTCATGTTTGGGAATATATGTAGTGGACTGTAGTAGCAGTATGTCTGCAATATTAATTGTGCCTTTTATTATTTGTCACTGTGCATGGGCGACTAAGTTCATCCCTGGAGATGAATAAAATTAGAGTGCTAAACACAAATGTATTAAATAAACCCCACTGACCCACAGGTTGATGGGTCATTACAAACTCACTCAACATTAAAAACATTGATCAAGCCGACAGAACTGAATGTTAAATTGTAGTTGATCCCAAAACTACCAAATATGTCAGGATGGATTTTGGGTAAACGTTTACAAGATGAGGAATATTTCAGAGATACAACATCCTGAGTCTAGGATGTGTGTGTAACACCATACAGTTTAGATACAGCCAATATGACAGACACTGTGTGGACTAAGATGACTTTCAGCTACTTAAGGGGAAATAAGAGTAGAAAGGCGATGTTAAGGGTTTTAATGAGGCCAATAACTTATTTTATAAAGACATTTAGTCTCTGTAAGGACATGTCCTCTCCTCTCAGACACTGTATATTACCTCTCTGCACAAAAATCATCCAGGTCGCCGCACTGCCATGACCACAGCTCCAGACTTCTCCCATAGAGATCTGGCTTTCAGGGTCTTTATTTCTGAGTGACGAAATGAGGCCAAAGGGTGAAAGAGAGAAGAGTTGAGCAACAGACTGACTGCAGAACGCATTCCAACTAAACAGCAGTTCCTTTCAACAAACCCACACCATTTAACCAAAGAACAACCCATCTTTTAATGACTGATTTTGTGGATAAACACAAGTTCTGACTCACCTCCTTTCAGAGTTTTCAGTTCAGTGTCCTCCAAATGCTTCAGAGTGGCCTTCAGCGGCGGTGTCAGGAACAGATTGGTGAATAAGTTCATAACACCATGAATGAGGCCACCGATGGTAGCCACCGCGTTGGCGACGAGTCCCATAGCCATTGCTCCTTTCTGGCCGTTTTGCTTTAACGCATCCTGCATCTCTACCGCGGGAGCCACAACTCCTCTGCGCCTGCACCGCGGATAAAAGCGCTTTTATATTCCAGCTAAAGTTGACCCTCCCAGTGTTACTCAGACCCAACCTTCTCCCCTTTGGACCGAGATACTGATCAGACGACTTGATCACACGCAGCTGAGTTTGATCAGCGACGCCGTCATCGAGTCTGCAGCGGGAAGAGCTCCTTCGGCTCAAAAGTCACCGAGGAAAACCGAAAATCTGCACAGTCATTATCCAAAATATCACACATTGCAGGCTTGCACAATAAAAAATACTGTTGCAATCTGTTCCATTATTTCTAAAATAAAGTGGATTTCATGGCTTTTACTGCATGCACGTTGCAGGGAATGAGTCACATGAACTTCATCACCACTAAAACCCTCAGTTTCACACCTTCCCTGCCCTGGTGGAGTTTAATCAGAGAGAAACACTTGAGATACAGAAATGTATGGTGATGACTGTTTATTCTTTAGTTAACACTTATTTTTGCACATTTATATCAAACAAATTACATGTATATTGAAGCTAAACTTCATGTTGGATCAGTGGAACGTCACTGATTTGATCACGCCTGGTCTGCATCTTTTTCTTCTTCCTGTAAAGCAACACAAAGCTTAGTTACAACTTATTCACCTCTGACACTATGAAAATGCCAACTATCTTGAGTGTAACTGTATAAACTAAGATCAGTTTAGTCCAGGCCCTGTTTGTGGGATTTTTTTCACATTTGAAATAAACCATTTTATTCATTTTCTCTCTCTTTCTCTCGTTGCCAGCTGGCCTACGGGGTCTACCTTCTCCAGGACATGTTCCATGTCAGGAGGAGGGTTTTCAGGTCCCCCTGGTGAAGTCACAGGTCTCTCGCTGGACGCCGTCTCCTCCACTGTTGCGTCTCTGTCAGCTGGAGCCGAGCTATCAGCAGTCTCGCTTGTGCGTTGCCCGTCTGCCTCCTGAGATGAGGTGGCCAGAACAGTTCTGGTTAAGCATTAAACAAATGTGTCTTTGCATTTCTATCTATAGATCCTCATCAGAGACTTCCCTCTGGCTCACTGTCTACTGCTGATTGGTTCTCGAACTCATCACTGCTGCCTTCTCTGGACTTGCTTTTACTTATTTGCTGTGTCAAAGTAATCCAAAGATAGAAACATTCTACAAAAACCAGCCACCTTTTCCTGGTCCTGTGTCTCCTGTTTCGTCTGTTCTTCGGTAGAAAACGTCTCCTCTGGTTTGAGACCTTCACTCTGTGGGTCTGACTCCAAATGACCAGTTTCACTTTCATCAACCTGCTGGTAAAACAGTGCAAAATTTGGTAGACACGTAGATTTACTCTGTTCAGTCCTGCCTGTATCTTCTTCACCTGAACACATGCAACCTTTTCTTACTTACTCTCACTCTTCTCAGCTGCTGTTCTCTCCTGTCATCATCTGTAATGTTTAATCTCTTCAGCTCACTTTGCCTCAAATCTTCTTTACCACTCTGTTCATCTATGCTTTGTTCTTCCTGTCTTTATCCTGCATCTCTTGCATCCTCAGTCTATACACATGGCAGCCTAAATCAGCAGCACTTGACCTGCATTGCAGATGTTTCACCTGCTCTGTGTCTTGCTGGTCTGGGGAACGAGGGCTCGGTTTGTCATGTAGCTCTTCTGTGTTGTCTGTTTTTAAGTCATCAGCGTCCCCGTCGGGAGTCGAGTGCAGTGTATCAGTCTGCTCAGATTCAGCAGTGGCAGCTTGATCAACCACCTGCAGAGCAGTTGTGATACAGAATAATATGTAATTTAAACATTTTAGCGTCACATTGAAACATAAGCAGCTCTCACAAGTGTTTCAGATTAACCCTGACTTACTTTTTTATTTGTTATGAATTAAATGTTAACACTAAACGATCTAGGTGCTACAGTGTCTCATCACCTTATCCTCTTGGTTAACTTCTTTCACTTCTACTTCATTGGTGCTTGCCGTTTTCTCCTCTACATGATTGTCACTTGGCTCCACCTCTGTTTTCTCTCCTGCTTCATCGCTCCTCGGCTCCACTTCGGTTTTTTCAACAGGCATTTCTGCAGACTCCTCTTTGACCTCAGTGCTGAGGGCCTCAGAGAGGGGAGAGCTACTGGCCTCCACTGGTTTTCTCTCAGGCGGCTCTGGACTGGTTGCATTATCTGTACCTGTCCCCTGGCAGACACATCATCTCCTTAAACCATTTGATGACTGTATTTCCACACCATATGAGGCAAGTCATGCTCTAGAATAATCATACTACTCTGCCCCGCCACCGAAAAGACCTCAGCAACGGACCAAAGATCACAGAAGACCAAACCAGAAGTGATTGCAAAAGACGAAGGAGGCACCACCACCAGAAGCACACAGATTTGAGATCTACTTTTTTTATCACCTCCGCTTCAGTGTCATTTTTGAGAGCTTCAGTTTGGTGTTGGTCTGTGCCCTGCAGGTTTTCTGGATCAGGGGTGTTTGGTTTCTCTTCTGTCACAGGTTTGTTGTCCTCAGCAGATCCTGCTGTGGCTGGCGTGGGAGCATCTGACCCTGTAAGCTCCTTCTCAGAAATCTGTTGATGTGGTGATGTTGACACGCTCTTGAAGGATTTTGCTATTCTCAGATTTTCATAATCTGTTCTAATTTTATTTTTATCATTATTTTAGTAGATATTAAACTTATTTCGTATAAATGTTGATTTATTAGATATCGTATTCTTCTTGTTTTTAATTTTTATCATAAAAGCTGGATAGATTGCTTTGTTATAGCTAATTGATACTGTAGTCGCCTCATTACAATTATTAACATTATTTCTATGCCGGTTTCCTTTTATATCGTTTTATAGACCTTCTTGATTATTGGTCCAAATGTGTTTTTCTAGTATTATTTGTGTTTTATTTAGTCATCACTGATACAGCACTTTGGTCAGTTTATACTGTGTTTAAATGTGCTTTATAAATTAAATTTACTTACTTACTTACTTACAGTAATACCTTTGTTTTTCTTCCTTCCTCTCTTCTCTCTTTGTCTGAATTTCCTCCAAACTCTTGGTCTTTGTTTCAAATTAACTCCCCCATTCACCTTCTAAAGTCTAATTGTAACAAAACTAGACTCAAACTACAGAAACTGAAACATCAGTTCCTCCAGCGGAACAAGAACAGGGAAGTTACAGGGATTTTGACACATAACATACTTCTTTAGACTCTTCCAGGGCCTCAGTGATCTTTCGCTCCTCCTCCCTCAGCTTCTCCTGGTACAACGCCTCCTCTCTGGCTTTCACTCGCTCCTGCTCCAGGAGTGCCAGATGGGCCTTTTTCTGCAAACAAAACAACAGGCTTTTGATTGTGGCCCTACTTTATCGTTTTCAACACACCTGAAAGACACAAAGCTTATAAAGGGTTCGACCCTGTGACTTTTCTTTTCTTATGAGCTTGTGGCAGCAGTAGCTCTCATCATCGCATGCTTCATGTTTCTGAATCTGAGCTGAAGGTGAAAGGTGACTCGATGTTTGTTGCTACAGCCCCAATAAGCTTTATAGCGCTCAGCCTGAGGAGCTTAGACTGTCTGAGTCTGTGTCATCCTTTACTGCAGTTCTCAAAACCTATTTGAAGATCAGGGCTTTCAGGTAGTGGAGGTATAAGTAGACGTAGTACTAGCAGTTTAATAGCAGTGTTTACGTGGGATAATGCCACTTTTTATAATAAAAAATACTGATTATAGCTGCTTTAAACTATATCACTATATATAATGGATTAGTATTACAGATGAATTAACATGTAAGCAGTATAATAATGTTGGAGCTGGCAGAGGTGCATTTAATTTCATCTGCAGTAACTACTGAATAAATGTTTAAATAGCAGAAAACAAAAGCACAAATACTAAGACCAGTACTTTTTATTTGTGTGTTAAACTACATTTTCAAGGGGGGGGGGGTTGACACACGGTTGTGCAATAGCGCCCCCTACTGACAGTGAAACAACACAGCAGCTTACCTCTGCCTCATACTGAACGTTTGTGTTGTACTTGTAAAGCCACCGGGCCAGATAAAGGATCGGGTCCACCGGCCTCTGCTCGGCCACTTCAGCCAGTCCGTCGGCCAGACATTGTCCCAGGTGTCTTTTTACATACTCAGAGTCCATGTTGTTGTTGTTGTTGTTGTTGTTTTATATCCTGCGTAAATAATCGAAACACAACTTATATGAGCTGTTTTGACGTTAATATTCAGCTACACGGTGTTTAGCTGTATTTGTACTGTGTTATTGATACTATAAGCTTAATGTGACAGCTAATTTACCAATATAGCCACAAAACTTACCAAAACAAACAAACAAACCTTTTCACTGAGCGTCCGGATGTAGCAGTTCTGTCTCCATGGTAACGGTGTCACGTAATTAATGCTCCCCTCAATCCTTTTAAAAAGGTTCCTACTTCCGTTGATACCACTACTAATATTATTAATACTAATAGTACTACTACTACTGCTGCTACTAATGCTAATACTAATACTAATACTAATACTGCTACATAGAATATCTAATTACTAATACTTTCTAATAGTTAATACTAATACTATACTACTACTGCTTACTGCTGATACTAATACTACTAATACTACTGCTATTATTAAAACTACTACTACTACTACTGCTACTACTAATGCTAATACTAATACTAGCACTAGTATTAGTATTAATAGTAGTTTTAGTAGTAGTACTAGTGCTACTACTGCTACTACTGATACTACTACTACTACTACTACTACTGCTGATACTGCTAGACTACTGCTACTACTGCTACTAAAAAAAAAAAAAACCTTATTATCATCATAATAAAGTACAGAGTGACAGTTGTCTGCTATCCTGTTACTGATTAGTTAAAAAAAATAGATTAGAATAAACATACTAGAATAGTATATTTATAAAATACAATATGCCTAAATGTGTCTAAATAAAGTATGAAAAAAAACGAAATTAACCAAACATAAATATAAAATGGTATTGAGGCAAACATAGTTACACATAAATTGAGGAGACAGGGAGTGGACATCTTTGAGTTTGAGTTTTCAGTTACTAAAGCAGATCTGGAGTCCTTATTGGGTGAAGCAAGGTGATAAATCTGAATAATAAGGATTAGTGTCTTGAATGTTTCAGTCAGCTTTACAGTAATCTTAAATCTTTTTTAACTCTAATTGTACTGAAAGTGAAATATTTTAAATATTGTATCTGTATCTGTTTTCTGCAATGTGACCAATTGGCGGCATAAAAACATTGAAAAGATGTCCCGCAGTTTACCCAGTAGACCCACCACATATACTGTATATTTACACATCACACACTTTATATGCATCAAAAGCAGCACTCAAATCCTGGCAGCAGAGTTAAGAAGAACGCCACCAAGGGCAGTTTCAGCGCTGTGGGGCATTTTAGTTTCATATATGCTTAATATATTTGATAGTGACAAAGCCTAGGCTCTTTAATGTAATTTTACATCCACCCCGTCCTGAAACTGGGACAGTTTACTCACATGGGAGAGGAGAAGGTGGGAAAATTTGCAGCAGGCTCTATTTCCAAGAAACAGATGACACCCAGTTAACATTTGTAATCACAGATATCATTTTCCTTGTATAATCATACTACACACCTTTCAGCCAAATATAGCCTTCACGACGACAGGAGGACTCACCCAATCAGTGCACTGATGCAGCCCTGTCCCTATCTCTGCATATAGAGAGGTTATTTGAGCAAATGTATATTTTGACCTTTGACAGCTACACTCCAACATCATTAAGGGGATTGTTTCTATCATTTCTACACCAAAATCAGATTTCCAGGTCCTTAAGTAGTTTTTGCCCACTTTTCTGCCTTGTGAACATGTAACTGTAATAACAAAAAGGTGAGATTTTAATATTATGTCCATAACATTTTCAAAATGTATTTTTTATTCTAACCAGGAGATATCAAGTTACCAACAGAAACAAGACAGTGTATGGGTTTGAATAAAAGGAAATAAACATGATGCTGCCCTCTCGTGGTTGTATCAGCAACAGCAACTTTTAATACTTTCATTAGTGCCTAGTATTGGGCTTATAGGACATGTTTCTGTTCTAATTATTTGTGCAAAAACTCTGTTGAAAGCACAAGTTATAGTTGGACATTTGACAAACAAACTGTTTATATAAGCTTGTTTATCAGAAATCGTCAAACACACAGGAGACTTATTTTCCCTCCTCTTGACTAAAGGAAAGGTCATCATTATTCACATATTTTCACCTCATCTACTTCAACTTCTTTCTGAAAAAGACAGAAAGAAGACAATACAAACTCATCACCTGACAAACACGGACACAACTTCAATCCTCAGAAATATTAAAGCCAACTCATATTTCTCTGTGTTAAGATTCACAAAAGGCTGCTGTATCACAGATCTATTGCCAACTGTTCTCACATAGACTGTTCAATAATAGACTATATTCAAAAACACAACAAACAAGAACTCAAACCTGGATAGACAAATACTCAGTCTGTGCATGAGTTAGGAACGTTTTACACTTTATAATAACGGCACAATAATTTATAAATGAATAAACTGAGAGACATATTTAATGAAACATACATAATCTGCATTGCAACAATAAAATAATGAATACATTTAACATTTCTGAAGCAGCTCTTGCAGGCGGATCAGCAGAATAAAAACAGTTAAAGCTGAGGGCAATCTGCGCTCAGAGATCCTCGGCAGCAGCAGCAGCAGCAGCAGGACGTTATTTCATGTGCGCTCACTGACTTTACTTGGTGACAAAGTTGTAAATGCGCCTGACCGACGGAAATGCTTGCAGGATTGACCAGCTGTGTGGGAACGGGAAGCGGTTCCGTTTTTTCCGAAGTGTCAAAGGTCTGATCTGATCCTACCTGGAGCAACTCCTCCGGTTTCACTGCAGGACACCACTGCGTCAGCAACAGCTGTCCTGCAGCCCCGCGCAGGCTGCCAGAAGGGGAGAATTACGCCCTCAGTGTAAGGCTTGACGGGAGACTTGATTTTTTTTTCAAGTTTCTTGGATTCTGTGGAAATATTTGCTTTGCTGTGCAAGGTAAACCCGCCACTTGTGGTCTTGCCATGAGCCTAAAGATGAGCTGCATGAACCTCAGAAAGTGTCAGGCTGCAGGCTGAACGGTTTTCACTTGAAGGTTCCGAGTGGCTTTGGTTTTATTTTGTCTTCACTGGTCGTGAGTTTGCTGTTTATTTTATTATTCTCTGGATAAGATTGTGTTATGATGTGGCTATCTTGTGTAATGGTTTCATTGTTTGTTTTCCTTCTCATTTGGTCTTTGGTGAAAACTTGCACAGTTTCCTAACGAGTGACGGGGAATCGTTTGGCTTTTTGGTGAAGAGCCGTTAATTTAAAATAAATGTGTGGTAGTGAAAAGTTTTTCTTTTGGCACACAAAATAATTAATTGCACTGCGAAAGAAATTAAACGCAAAGCCGTGTTTTAATATGAGCGCCTTTGTTCTAATAATAAACATGAACCTGTAATTGAGCTTAGGTCAAATTTGGATTTGGTAGATTTATGGCTTCTCAGCAGTGTTTTTAAATGTGTATGTATTGTGTGTGTATGAGGAAGCATGTGCTCGTTTGTATTGTGAAGGCGCACGCATGCACTGGCGAACTAGTGTTTTACTACACTATTATGCTACAGTATCTACAGTATGAGAAGGGAAACTGCGCATGAGCATCATAACAGGCCCATGTCTCCACCTGCCAGGTGAATATCTTCCTCCAGGCACATGGCTGTACTGCCCAGTGTGGACACTGCAACCTTCTCAATCCCCACTATGCCTCCTCCCACAGGGCCAACGTTTTATTTTTAGCTCATGTCTTCATGGCAGATGGGCAAGATAGTGTGATGCTGTGGATGCTCATAGCCCACCATTTCTCTGCCGTTAATCCATGTTGCCCAAATCAGAGGTGTGGGACTACAGAGACAGCCTGGCTCCACGCAGGCAAAGCAAATCTTTGGACGCAGTAAAAGACGTGGAGACTGCTGTTCATGTTAGATCCTGTCGACAGTGCATCTGCAACTCTTATGTTACAGGATGGGCTCCTACAGTGGAGCCCCAGCAGTAGGGCCAATGCAGATTTCAACATGGATGGGGCTCATCAGGTGGATTTATTTAAGTTCTTAGAGTGAGTTTTCTTTGCACACTGCATCATTTGTCTTAAAGTTTTTTTATTTACAATCTCCTCTGTGCCGCATTCTCCTCAGACAATCCTTCATGTGTCCTCACATAATGTGGTAGATGGCTTTTTTTTTGTCACTTTCAACATGCATATTGTGTAAAGATGTATCTCTGTGGTCTACCTCTGCCTGAGTGTGTTTGTATGTCTCGCATCACATGTTCTTGGACGCAGAAGGTGTCGGTTTTGAGTTTCTTTCACCAAGTGAGCCCATGTGACTGCCTGGCTAGGCCTCTGTATTTTCCAGAGTATTCAAAAGGTGAAATAAGGTTAAAGATAAGTGCAACTTTTTTTCCCCTTAAAATGTCCCTTTTTTTTGTTCAGTTCCCTAATTCAGTATAATTGTGTTGGAGATGCAGTTTTGTTGTTTTCCCCATCGGACTGCAGTTTGACAGAAATAACATTTGACTTTTACTAGATAGTTGAGACGAGCAGCGCCTTCCTGGATGTCTGTGTTTTTTAAGAACTTGATTGGTGTTATGAATATGATAATAGCTCCCCCGGTCCGTCACAAGCTGGATGGAATATCCACCATATCACTTCCACATGTAATCTACTCAGATTTCTGTGCAGCGAGTGCAAAAGCCAAATGGGTCAGTTTGAGGCAGCAGAAATCTGTTTAGTAAGCTGTGTTCAATTATAGCAAAGAACAACACAACTCCTTGTGAACCAAGAAAGTTAATCTTACATTTACAGTTAGTTCAGAAACAGCTTAATTTACTTTATGATCTGTCTACTTGTTTGGATTTAAGACTATGCAATTGTTTATTAGCACCCTAAAGGCTCATATTCTGTTGCTAACATTGTATTTATTATGCTGTCATTGTCCAGGAGACCTGATAACCTGGCCATGGTCAGCCAGAGACACATTGTTTGGCTGCGTCCTCTAATAAAAGTCTGGATTTATACATCAGTCGGCCTATGTGCCTATATGTTTCTGTTAGCCATCTGACCATCTGACTGCACACTGGGAGATTACGATAGGGCTTCACAGCTCCTCGGTATGCAGCGACAGAGGCATACCGCGAATGACAGCAGCTGTCCTCTTAGCAGCAACATAATGCATGTAGGGATATACTGCGACTGACTCTACTGTGCACACATCTGATAAAGACATCGAAAGGGGCTTGACCCTGAGTAGTTAGTGAGGCCATAAACATGCTGATAATTTTTAAGTATGGTTTGACTCCGCATGCAGCTATGATTTTGAAGCGCAAAACTGCGTCTGGTGGCAACATACAATGACAGGGCAGGGAGTAGGAACAGGTGGAGAGGTCGGTTTTAATGTGGCTCCCTATAGGGTTTGAA